CCCCCCCCCCCCCCCCCCCCCCCCCCCCAATCCACGCGCTGAGCTCATGGCCGCGCCTCGCTCCCACTTCCGGCCACGCCCACCCTGCCTTCGTGACGTCACGGGAGCGCCCCGCTATAAAAACCCCGCCGCTCAACGCCGAGCGCCAGTTCCGCTCTTCCTCTCTCGCCGCCATGGCTGCCGCTACAGCTGGCCCAGCTCCGGAGCCGCTGCTTCAGGTACGGATCGTCGTCCGGTTCTTTTTTTTCCCCCCGGATCCCGTTCCCGTCTGACACCGATCGTTTCTCCCTCACAGGGCCCGTTTTGCGGTCAGCCGTCTTCCGAACCGGAGCCTCCGCTCCCCCCTCGCTCCCCCTGGTGCCCGCCGTCACCGGAGCTCGGCCGCCTCCTGCGTTCCCTCAGCGCTCCGTCGGGTCGTTCCGTGCCTCCTCCTCCCGGTTTCTCTCCTCGGTTCCGCGGGGCTCCTCCCGGCCTGACCCGCCCGCAGCCTTCCGACGCCGCATTGCTGGCTTTGGCGGCTCTGACTTTAGGCACGGACCCACCCGGCACCGTCCCGTTACCGTTCCCGTCTCGCAAATCGGTTCAACTCTCCTCTCTCGGCTTGGCGCTTCTGTCTCCGACGTCGAACGAATCGTCTCAGCTGTCACCGTCGCTTTCTCCTCCTCCATCCCCGTTCAACTTCTCTTTATCACCTCCCTCCTCGCCGCCGTCCCCGCTCTACAAAACGGAACTGTGTCGCCCTTTTACCGCTACCGGCCATTGTCGTTACGGTGCCCGCTGTCAATTCGCCCACGGTCCCGAGGAGCTACGGGGGCTCCGTCGCCACCCCAAGTACCGCACGCAACCGTGCAGCACCTTCCAACGTTGCGGGACGTGCCCGTATGGCTCCCGTTGTCACTTCCTGCATGGCCCCGGACCGGCGGAGGGAAGCACTGGCAACCCGGGCAGCCCCCACCGCCTCCCGGTGTTTGACCGTATCTCAGTGTCGGAATGAGGGATGTGGTGCTGGTTCCCCTCCCCAGAGGAAGGGAACACCCCCCTCCCCCCCTTCCTTTCCTTCCTCCCCCCCCTCTGCCAGGAACTTTGGGCTGAAGGAGGCGGAGATGTCAGATGTAGCATCCCTGGGGTGGGGGGAGGCACGCTGTGCTCGGTCCCAGTGGTTAAAAACTGGGAATGGGGGGGGGAGGAAGAGGAGGAGAGGGAGACGAGGCTGGCAGGTCCTGTCGTCCCCCCCTCCCCTGCCCTCCCCGCCCTGATTCTGCCTTTATTTATTACTCACTCAGTGCCTTAGGGGCGTTTCTGTCCCTGTGTATGGCTTTTTCTTTCTTTTTTTTTTCTTTTTTTCGGTGGCCAGATGTTTTATATTGTATTTATGTGTT